GTAATTATTAGAATCCTTTTTCTTTTTCTTTTTTCTTTTTGCATCTTTAAACTAAATCAAAATTAAATAATTACTTTGATTAAAAAATATCTTAAAGACAAAAAATACAAAATAAATAAATGTATCTAAAAATCACAACAAGCTTAGGTATAAACTAAAAAAGGACACGAACAATATAATGCGCAATTTTTTCTTCTAAAAAATATCAGAGAACTTATTTATATAACAGCATAGTTCTACATTATAAACTTTATATATTACTTTCAAGCAAACAGTAATTTGCATAACCATGTTAGCGGCAAATTATGATGTGAATGGAAAATGTCTTACGCCACTTATCGGAAAATTTAACCGATCTAACTAATGCAAAAGATTGAGATACATTTTCTATTTATAAAAAATATTAAGCAAAAATAATTCTCTTAACAAATTGACTTTAGTTGCCATCGATTACATATATATTTTTATAAATTATACAGTTTCAATAAATTTTATTTATATTGCATATTGGACTATATCACGAAAAAAAATTAGCCACCGTAGCTAAATTTTAACTATGGTAACTAATATTTTTTAGCTCTTAGTTTAACGGAGAATTCTATAGCTAAGAAATATTAACTATCATAGCTAAAATTTAGACATGATAACTAAATTTCATGTATAATATACAAATTTGGATATGATAACTAAAATTCATGTAATTCGTGTATAATATAGGGACAGCGAAAATTTAACTATATATAGTAGATAATTTTTTCAGTATATTAAAAATTTTTTTTGGTATACGATAGTTTTTCAAATCAATCAATTTTTTGCTTTAAAGTTAAAAGTTTAATTTTTTGTTCTCGTCTTCTCCGAAATTCATTATATACATAATTACAAATTGCTATGGAAATTTTGTAATATTTATTGGATAATTAAACACCTTCAGTATTTCATTTTCATTTAATTCAATGAATTGCAGAAATTTTATCAGCATACATATGACGTTGATCGTTTAGCTGCAACGGTATATGTATTATGCGTATTGTGCTGACAAATCGAAATTTTCATCGTCGCATTACATCACAGGCAATTTATCCCCTTCCCATTGCAATCCAATTTTATAAACTTTGATTGTAGTTTACGATACACGACTTTTTGACTGTTCAAGTTTCTCGCAAGATTTTCTGCAAGCTTATCTGACACGTATTTGGCTGTTAGCTGCCATACAGTTTTTACGAGTACACCAAATAATAAACATTTTTCTCCGATATTAAAAGATAATATCAAATATTTCAAATTTTCTTTATTTGTATTATATGTTAATTTTAATTAAAAATGCATTTAAAATGGTTATTTTTAGAATTTGTATTTATTATAAAGTATTGAGAAGCTTTATACTTCATAAAAAAATATTTTAATAATATAAGAACGTTTCCCCAATTTTTCACATTAATGTACATTTTGTGTGAAAGAGATAATAAGTTCTATTAAAATTTAAATTAATAAAAAATGTTTTTTGGACCAAAACATTTATATTTTACAAAAAATTGCAATTAATAACAAAATTTTGATAGCCTCAACGTACACTTCTCTCTTTCTCTTTTTGTCTCTCTAGTATAAAAACTTGACTTAATGATGTGTCAATTGTGTAAAAAATAAAAAGTATTTAATATTCATATATTATATTAATATATGAATCCTGATAATAGTTTCTTTATTGTGTAAAAATTTCATCAAAATCGTAATCTATCTAATCTGCACTAAATTCATTCGCCTAATGCAAGATTGCATCAAGAGCTTGATTGCGTATGAGAAAGATATAAAAAATTTAATATTGTGCAATGTATTTGTAGTTAACAGAGCGAGTGACGAATACTTTAAAGAATATTTTAGAGTACATCCTTGAAACGTAATATTATATATATATATATATATATATATTTGGAAAGTTATTATATATTGCAAAATCGAAAATTTGGAAGAAGATATGTAATTACACATAAATCAATGTAAATTTAAAAATTATTGATATTTTATAAGTATTTAATCCGTTGAGTTTTGGTTTAAAAAATATGAACTTGAACTACATATTATGACGCTAAAATATTTTCTTTTATTCGTTTATATTACTTCGCTCATATTATTTCTTTATTCAAACCTATTATATGAACATAAAAATAAAAAATACTATCAAACAAGTTTTTTTCATTTTTAAGTATATATTACGCATAAATGATTTTTCTTTTAACAATTGCCATATCAACTAGACAATGAGCTTAAAGTAACAGTAGGGTTAATGATATTTTACGTCAATTCAGAAAAAATTTAAATAAAACAAGATTCTATAAGAGATATCTATATAACAATAAAAGTTATTTTAAAAATTAAAATTACTTCGATATCTCAATCTATTAGATATAAAAAATCATTGCTTTTTATTTTTAATGAGGAAATTCTCATTTACATTTACGACCGGAAGATTATTAACTTTAATATAAAATTATATACATATATATATATATATATATATATATATATATATATGAGTGAAATTAGTACGATAGTTCAATGTGCTGCGTGATTCACACAAAACCAAGGTTAATTAACGCAAAATTAATTCAGTATGATGTAAGACAAATTTAAATATATTTTTAGATAAATATATTTAAGTGAGTGTGTGTGTGTGTGTGTGTGTGTGTGTGTGTGTGTGTGTGTGTGTGTGTTACATACACCAGTCATAGTATACAGTCCAAAAATTGTACGATTTGTCCTTATAGCACCGATGAGCACGCTTTAGTTACGATTGCATTGTACATTTTTACAAATCAAAATAATACAAGGGAAGGCTATATAAACTGATGAGCTCTCAAGACGAAATCCAAGGCTAAACATTTAATTTCCGAAATTATGTCTGCGTATAGTGATGTGCTGTCGGAGATAAATATTCGACCTCGGCTTTGAAATGTTACGCGTTTCTCTTTCGGTACTTCACGCCTATTGAGTTCGACAGCGTTCGTTTTGCGTCCACGGAAATCAAATCTAATTTCAATGTCGATTACTTCATCTTACCAAATATATGATTCATGACTTTTGTATAATTTAAAAATCTTGAGATTTTAGATATTCTAAGTACACACAAAGATCTACTTCAGAATTGTATACTAATATTATGTATATGTATAATCAAACTTTATATGAGCAATTTAAGAAAAATTAGAATTTAAAATCCAATGATACATGTCCCATTTATTCTTGGTTCATGATTTTTTTTCATATATATTTAAATATTAATTTACATTTTGCATATATATTTCATAAATTTTTTGATAGAGCAATAAATTATTGCGCAATTTCCATATAATTATTAATAAATGTATAAATATATATACTGCCTCGAATATTATTTGTTGAATTATCTCGGATATAATATACCGTATAAATAAAAAGTATGAAAAAAAACTGCCACGTAATAATATTTATACACTTTTTATACAAACTTTTTGTCCGTAAAATACTCTCTGTTGTGTGGCAGAAAATTGCGCATTATGTGTTTGCCGTGTGAAGATTATTTGCTATTAATATTAATGTAACAAGTTTTTTCTCTTACAATTAGTATTAATTAAAAGGAGACTCTTATATAAATACAATCATAAAACGTCATAAAAACGTAAACGGTCTCTTGAAAAAACCGAAAAACAAATAGAAAAGACGTCATAGAAAATGTATCAACATCATTGAAGAACAAGACATTGCAAAATAAAATATTCATAATAATCTCTGCCATATAATATGATTTTCTATATCAGAAGTTTAGGATTAAAATAATAAGATAACAGATTATAATTTTCACACCGCCAATATCCATTCTCAATGCATCTTTTTTATTTCTGACTTATCCACTATCATCAATATTATTGTATTATTCATATTTTGTGTAGAATATTATCTGTTTTTTTCTCGATTTTATAATGTTCTGATTTACTATCTAACAATTTTTTGTATTGCATGCATGTTAATATTGTATTATTAGTTACAAATGTATGCATAATTGTATCAATAATACGGAGTACCCGAGAAAATACTGGAAAACATAACATTCTTTATATTTCTTTTGAAGTCGATATATTTCTTCTTAATAAAATATAGTCATGCACGCGTGCACACAAATATAACCGTAATCTTTATGATTACATAATTACCGAAATTATTTCAAGGATACCTATAAAATGATATTTTTAATAATACTATTATTTCTCTCAATATCCTAACAATCAAATATAAAATTCTGTTAGAACCGACTGTGTTTCAAATTGATTAGAGTCTAAAAATGTATTTTCGTTTTTGAAATTTAATTTTCCAACAATTAATTTTATTAAATTATTTGATTATATTATTAAAAATATACAAGAGTATAGCGGAGTCGCAAACTATATGTCTCTATTTCTTTGTTTTCACGCGTTATAACGCGTCAATCTTTAAAAGAAATTACAATTGACACTAGATACACATCTCGTCTACTTTTACATAGTATAGAGAATCAAAAATTCAAGCAGTATTTCAATAGATTTCCTACTGAAAAATAAGAGCGCATCCGGAAATTACAAATCGACAAAAAAGAAATATCAAGAAATCGGTCGTAATAAATTAGCGTGGAATTACCAGGAAAAAAAAAAAAAAAAAAAAAAGATGACGAGACATTTCAGGGAATACCAAAGTCCGCTCTTCAAATCGACCTCGACATCGTCGGTCCTCGGCGGAGGCGCGGCGTGTTTCGAGCGGTATGTGACCTTGGCCGAAGGGTGTCACGCCCGTGGTACGTCGACATCGGCAAGAAGAGGCGCCTTTCTTCTCCCCCAGACACAGGCCTCTTGAGAAAAGCGACCTTGACTGAGTCGCGGCGCGGGGTTTGCAGACGATCACCTGGTAAGGCCCCGATCGGTGCAGCCCCTCCTCGCGCTCTCACGCGCGCTTAAACCCCACTTGAGTTAGCCAATACTTAAACCGCGGACTTACCGCGCCGCGGACTATTCCCGCAGCATCGGCCGTTGGACCCATAAGCGCACGTCCACGCATTTGTCCACACGCGCGTATACACGCGTACACGTCCCGGTTCGGTGCGCGACCTCCGCACGATCTTTCGCAGGACCCGACCAGCACCGATCGCGCGTACGCGATCGTAGGAGTATATGTAGCTGTCTACGCGTGCGCGGTTTTTTTCGACCCCTTTTTTTGATCCCCCGCGCGAAAGAAAAAGGAGAACCGCGTGAGCAATCGGTGCACGAAGTGACGACAGCCTCCCTCCGCGACCCTTCGCTCGTCGGAAGGGGATCCACTCGCGATCGGTATCCATCACCAGTGTCCGCGGCATCGGTCGACAACGAGTCTCTCAGGTTCGAGGGAAGTGCGCGAACGAGCGAGTCTCCGATGATCCTTTTGATGCGTCGCTCGGATTTCATGCGGCATCATTGAATCGCGTAGAGATCGGTAACTTCGGCTGGCTTCGAAGTAGCCAAGAGAGTAGCAGAAGTGGTGAAGTGTGCGAAGTGCCCGGCCAGTTTCTGATCGACAATCGAATCCGGTGGAACGTAAGCGGAAGGTAAGCGCGTTTCGGAAATCCCGGGGAAGAGAATGGAACGTGGAGCGAGCGAGCAAGTATGGTCCGAAATGAATTTTCGCAGCGAGAACTCGAACCGAGTCCTTAAACGGATCGGCGCACTCGTACGCGTGCGGACTTGATACCAAAAAAAAAAAAAACTTGCATCGCGAAAATCCGCGCAAGTATCGAGTCGCTTAACTTTTTTTAAGATATGCTGTGTCTGGAGAAGACAATTCGTCGTAATTAAAACTCATTGAGACTATCGTGTTTGAACTTTTAGGAATATACAAAGACGAATTCTCTGTGGTGGAGAAATATATTTTTTTTCTAAAAAAAATTATATCGCTGTTCTAAAGCCTGTGTCCATGATATATATTAGAAATCCAAGTTCTCGGACCGAGAAATGATTAGCCAATTGATGAAAAAGCAACAATTTGATTGGCTACACATTTCTTGGTCCGAGACCCGAAATCGCGCGACCTGGTCAAATGCTCGAAGTAGTAGAGCAATACGCTAGTGTCATACAAGGGTTCACAGTACGAAGCGGTACCTGCTCCCTTAATTGGCACGGGGATTTAACAGAACGGAAAGATTGTAAAACAGTTTTACTCACTACAATATCGATGATGCAATAACGGATCCACAATGTAATTAAATTGTCTGCATTTTATATGCCAGACCTGTTTAATATGCAAAAGCTACATTTAAATATCTTTAAATCCGGTTGCAACCGGAATTATATATTTTATTTGCTATAATACATTTCGTACGTTTTTTCCCAGATGATCGCTCGATCTCGTCGCGTTAATTTTATTAATTTAAATATTTAATTGAGCTTTGGAAAATAGAAACAATGACTTTTAACGTGAGATGTCAAAAAATTTCAGAAAATTCTTTGTAAAAGTACACGAAAAAATTAAGAAATAATGTGCATGGGTTGGTATGTGTATGTGTGTGTGTGTGTGTGCGCGCGGGTGTGTGTGTGCGTATGTGTATACACGTGCGCGCTCAATATGCAAAAAAAAATTATTAACGGTGATATTATTTTTCATTGCATATGATTAAATGGAGATTAAAATGACTTTATTACTGAACGCTGGACTTTGTTGCGAAAATAACCGTTGTCTAAATCATATCCTGTTTGTTACTATCGATAAAGTGGAACAAGTAAATTTTCTTCGACGCAACTGCATCGTAATTTAACTGTGTCACATATATGTACATTTTCACGTCATAGTAAATCTCCCCCTCCAAAAAAATTCCACATTCATCACTTTTGGCATTAACCTTCACTCTTTCTCTCTTTCTCTCTCACTCCCACCTCGCCCTTCTCGCTCTTTCTCTTTCTTTCTTTGCTACAATATTTTGATAAATTATTCTGTTAAAAGTAGGTCAAATTTGATCGCATCTTGCGAAAGCCATCTTTTCGCATAATATGCAATATTTCCGAACAAAAAGAATGTATAATAATAAATAATTTTTAACAAACAAATTATGTATGAAGATAAATACGCGCGTGTGTAATTAATATAATAAATAGAAATAAAAAATATATATACATTTGTTGAGTGTCTTTTTGATAAAGTTAAATTAATAATCTTATAAAATACATTTACTATTTTCATAAAATATATCATTAAATGTATGTTCAGTAGCTTTTAACTAATTTTATAAAAGAACATTTAAAATATATATATACTCTTCTAAAGAAATTTATTTTAAAGAGATGCTATAAAAATATATTAAGAAAGTGAGAGAGAGAGAGAGAGGAAAAATGTCATTAAATAAATAATGGAATTTATTAGCCTGTCTAATATTTAAATACGTAGATATATATTCTTGAAAATGGAGACGCACCTGTATTTCATAATTAAGAAGGAAAATATGTGCGTTAGAAACGTTGCAATTGCCTTAATGCAAAGTGCCTGGCCCTATCACGCTGCATAAATGCATATGTTGTTTCGGCAGGTGACAGAAAGAAGATCCTTTCTCAAACTATGTAGAAACTTCACTCGCCTCGCTGGTCTGTGTACACGAGCGCGCGTTTGCTTTGCATGGTCAACTACCTGTTATAATGTAACCCCCACGTATGTGTCCAAGCACGTGAAATGCGTCACATTACACAACCGTCTCGAAACACGCCATAATATTCGGCACAAGGTCGCTGGACCGTTTTCGAGCCAGTTTCTTAATAGCGCGACGCGATTTCGCGTATCCGAGAAAAATTAAGTCTACCCTTTTAGAGCGACGTCAAAGATTTCGGATTTTTTAGCAAAACCCTTGGTTCATTACCATTTATAGGATTCCAATTTAATTAGATCCATAAAATGCATGGGAAAACAATATCCATATTAATATCTTTATGTAAATAATAAATTCAGATTATATATCAAATGATGCGGAAATTTATAAATTATGTATACAGATCAAATCATTTAATTGGAACTTAATAACTTCATTATTAAATAATTATTAACAAATTATGCACATTGTCTTTGCTTGAATACAAATAAACAATAATATCCCACTAAAAAAGAATAAATCATTTATAATATTGTTAACTATCAAAAAGTTTTTATCAAACAGTGAACAAACATGAAGTTGAATAAATAAGATTAGAATGGCAAAAAAGATGCACTAATGTGAAATACCATCCAAAATATATTTTTTACACGTAATTAAATAATTATGATAATGATCCTTTTCCTTTTTTGAGATTATGTATACTTATAAAGTCATCTTTGTAAGATAAGAATACATCTAGGAAAGATAAGGATATTTTTTCTTACTATAAGAAAGATACGAAATTGTTAAATATAACTTATTGAAACATCAAATATAAAAAATGTCGCATAACATTACGATAAGTATTTGGTATGTTATAATAATATGTAAATTATTCGATAAGAATAATGACGTATAAGATATGTTATAAATCAATGATATTACTTGAATTTTAATAAACTTGAGTATGAAGTTGGAATTTTCAGACATTGATCATATTCAAATTTATTAAAAATATCGTATCGTTTGTGTATTATACACATACATATATATATATATATATATATATATATATATATATATATATATGTGCACAATTCTTACATCTCATTTTCGGTTATTAAACTTTTAAAAATCAATATACAAAGAAGTCAAGAAAAAGATTTTTGAAGCTACTTTATTGAGAAGCGTTCTTAAAATGATTAATAAAATCCTTGAGATTTTATTACCTAGCTGATATTCAACTTGAAACTAATAGAGATGATAAAAAATAACCATCTGATTAAATATAATATAAGCTCTTCGTTAGTCTCTGTCGAGATGAGTGATCATCGCGATGCAAAAAGTGTTGTGTGTGTGTGTGTGTGTGTGTGAGACGAAGAAAGAAATAAATCTCATATTTACACTAGAGATTATGATTTCATGTGACACAATACATCTCTCCACAAAGCTTTGAAGATATTTTATGCTAGTCAAGGCTAAGATCTCTCCAACTGCAGAATTTCGAAAGAACGTTAACACGTATCGTTGCTTTTATCCAAATCGAGGACATTGAAACACTTGAGAATTGCAGGCAATTACTTTCGAGTTGTTAACGATAACGACGCTTTCATCTCTCCTTCAACTATTACCTTCTAATTTACGCACTTAGCGTATCGGTTGACAACATCAATCAATGTCTAATCTGGTATGAGTTTATATATGTATGTATAACATCCAGAACTTGAGAAATAATTTAATAAAATTTCATGAAATTTTTTCATTTAGAATCCCTGCAATAATATTTTATTAAAAAAAGACTTGCCAATCTTCGTTACTTTCAATTTTGTATATAGGATTCTATATTTTTATATAAATTATTTTTTTATGATATGTCCTCTTTAAATCATTTTACGATTTTACTCTGGATCATTTGCAAAAATTCGTCCTCTTCATAAACAGTATAAGATTAGCAAACTCTTTGGAAAATCTTAATGTAGAAACAATATTAGCAAAAAAACGTGCTTTCACATCGAACAAAAAAGTGCGATTTTTACGTTTCGCTGACTGGGAGCATAGTCGAAGTAAAACGTTAAACGACGAATTAAAAAACTGAGGTGCGCCTTATAATTAACTCGCATAAAAATGCTCCTAGAAGATCGGCTGGCAAAGAGGAATTACGAGAACAAGATGGGGTAAAGTTTTACGACGCGATTATTATTCCTACTCGGTAGCCAAATAAAACCATTACGTTAAATAAATTTAAATTATAAATTTTGAAAAAATATACAAATATACCATGCTATAAATTGTTAAAACTTAACTGCTCTATCAATCTACTATATTTGTAAAAGAAAAACAAAAGTGGAATAAATTATCAAATTTTCTTGCATTTCTACGAAAGAGGAATGTTGAAACTCGAGAAAACGACCTCAAGTAAATAACCTAGAGAAGAGAATGTACATAATTTAATATTGATTTAAATCTCTGCGACAACATAATATTCGTTATAAAGTTGTAACATAGATACTTTACTCCTACTTTCCCTCATTTCTGTGTGACAAGTTGAGAAAAATATTGCAAAATTTTCAAAAATGGAATTATTAATCGTGCGAGAATAGAAAATATCGCGGCATCATATTTATCTCATCATTATTTCGATTTATATCCCATCATTACCTTAATCTTGGACTTTGCCACTTGCACGTGTAATATTGATTAATTCATTTGATCTAACTCGTTCCAAATATGTTTAAAATTAAACATATTATATTTCGCAGATATTCTGAATCCGCACTATATATCATCGTTTCATTCATGAATCATAAATCTGCGCTTTTACCTAGACATTTCTAAATAAATGACGTCGTTACTCTCGTGGAGCGGTGAAAACCGTTCTTAAAAGTCGATAGATTTCGATCGCGCAAGAACAGGCTAGTAGCACAGAGAAATTAGCGAATAATACCCGTTTTTTTTTCGTATGCAAGAAAAGAATTACACGATGACGTATAACAAGT